CCTATTCAATGAGGCAGGGTCTCTAAAACCCTGTGCTCACTTACATGGCTAGTCTCACTAGCCGGCTTGTTCAGGGCTTCCTGGGTCCCTGGTTTTCAAGGCTGGAATTACGACTGAGATCTGAACTCCAGTCCTTGCACTTTTGCAGCAAGCAATTAACTGCTGAGCCATCTCCCCAGCTCCTGAAAACCTCATCTAACTGGCCACTGTATGAGATATGCAGCGCCATAGATGAAAACATAGAGTTACCCAAAGATCTTGGTGGAAGACTCAGAGCCAGGATGCTTAGCTCCCTAATGGGAGAGTGGGCCACTTACAGTTCAGATAAGAGACTGACTTTCATGGTAACTGAGCTAAAAATTTAGTTTTAAAAAAACAAAAACAAAGGCCGGGCGGTGGTGGCGCACGCCTTTAATCCCAGCACTTGGGAGGCAGAGCCAGGCGGATCTCTGTGAGTTCGAGGCCAGCCTGGACTACCAAGTGAGTCCCAGGAAAGGCGCAAAGCTACACAGAGAAACCCTGTCTCGAAAAACCAACCAAAAAAAAAAAAAAACAAAAACAAAAACAAAAACAAAAACAAACAAACAAACAAACAAGTTTCGCCTCATAAATATCAGAGATTTGGCTCAGTTAATCCTTAATTTAGGACAGGACAGTAGCTTCCATCCCTAAGCATCAATACTCTGGCAACAGGACTTGAAATGTTTTTTTTTTTTAACCAGGAGAAATAAATTAAAGGCAGAATGAGAAACAAAAAAGGAATGGATATAAGGATGCTTTCTGTGTAGCTGTCCCTTCTAAAAATAATCTTTAGTTATGTCCTCTACCCTCTACAACAATCTCATAATACAATATTACCAGCACTATTTAAGAAATCAAGAAACAAAAGATCCAGAAAAAGAACACTGCTAGAAAACTAGCTAAATAGATCCATCTAATAGACACTCCACTGGGCACTAGCACTGTCCAAGCCTCATCTATGTGGAATCTACAGACAAACATGTGCACACCTACCGCAAACGTTTCCATGATTTGAGTCATCATCTTACGGAGATTGAAAGTTTTGCTATTGTTATAATTCTCTCCATTTTAGAGATGAGTCCAGAGAACCACAAAGATGTCTAGTAGACTGTCCAAAGCCAGGAGACTAATACACAGTACTGCCATACTTAAAACCAGCCAGTCTAGCAACAGAGTCCTTTCTCCTAAGAGACATTCTACCTCTCCTCCAGGCAACGAGGCCAGAATCTAATTGTGACAGAACTCATCTCATCACAGTATGAAGTGCCAGGGATACAGTCCCATATGCAAATGAGAATGGGGCTTTGGCATCTCTCTCCTAAGAAACACTTTTGAAGCCAAGATTTTCTTCTCTGGTATCCATCAAAAGATACTGGAATATGGAAGAGTCTGAGATAAATGTATGTATTCTTAAAGCAAATGTGGACTTGTCCTCCCACTTAAAGTGATCATTGGTAAACATAATAACTTGGTAAAAGGAGAAATCAAAGAGAATATATGCATGATTATGTTGTGGAGACAATCATAGAAAATGCTCCCCATTCTTAATCCCGTCCATCAAGTGGGGTCACTGCTCCTTTGTCATGCTTCCCTCTTCCTTAGGAAATTTTGTGTCTTCACTTAACTCAATAAAGCAGAGTGATAAGGTTAAGCCAATGAGTGAATCTTCATTAACTAATAGCTAAGGAGAATGTGAAAACTACCATTTACCTATTCATTCCAGAAATGGTTGTTCAGGAATAAGCCAACTACATACACTCCAGCAGGTCTATGCTCCATCATTTCTTCAAAACTTTATATAAAAGACCCTGTTGCTGAAGACAGGACATACATTTGTTGTAGGGTCTAAAAAAATCAAGTCAGCAGTGACCTGGAAACTTTCTCCTCACTGGCTAGCTTTCACAGTGATGAAAAGTGCTGTGTAGTTCACTGGGGGAGGAAAGTCATCAATGGACTTACACAGTGGTGGACCTTGCATGCTAAACTACCAAGTTGTCAGGCAAGCTGTGCCTAATGATAAATAGTGGCATGACTGTTATGAAATAACCAACTATTCTCTTGATTGGATTTGAAGCCTATTCCACATGAGGAAATTCATACCTGGTTCTATAAACCCGATCAAAATCCCATGACTGGGGGTATTATGAGCCATAGAAGAGAGCCTACTACCATTGTTTTACTAAATGGACACACTGTCAAATTGCCTTCTACATATTTATATTTGTGCCCATAAATCAGTGCTACTCTCAACCTTGATCAAAGAAGTTTCTCTTTGCAGTGAGCAGCAAGCAGTACAGAGACTCATAAATGGCCAGAGTGCTGAAACTAAGTGGCAGTTGAGTGATCCACCCTGATTAGACATCTATAGCATGCTCCCCTGCACCAAAGTTCAGAGAACGTCATGGAAGATGGAGTGGAAGGATGTAAGAACAGGAGGATGAGCGAGAGTGCAGAGAAATGCTGTCTTCTGGACCAGACATGGCTGCCACACACATCAACCCACGGCAGCTTTGCTCACCTGCACAAGACCAGCACAAGCTCAAGCCAGTTGACATTCCAGCATGGGGATGGGAGGGGCTTAACAAGCCCCACCCTAGCTGAGGCAGTATTAGCAGTTGAGAGGCGCTTTCGGGAGGACTTGTTTTTCTTTAAGGAAATGGCAGCTGATAGATTGTTCATGCTCTAGTAGATGGCCCCACACCTATGGATGTAGCACTGACTGAATTCAGTGGGTTATTAAAAAGAGAAGGAGAACATGAATGTCGGCAAGGAAAACACTGTGGGAGCCCTGGAAGAGAGAAAAGGAGGATTTGGGTTGTACAAGATTGTTGCTAAAATTCCTTAATGTCTATACTTCCTCCCAAGGTCCCAATAACAAATCAGGGCACAGTTCCACCAAAGTTCACCCTGGGGGAGCCAGTGAATTTATTGAGTCTCCTTATAGACTCAAGATGAGAGAGTACATACAGGTGACAGTTCCTGTATGTCCAGTTACTCACAACAACTATCAATATACGTGTGTGTGTGTGTGTGTGTGTGTGTGTGTGTGAAATTTCAAAAACCACATGTTTAGATTCTAAAAAACAATACCTTATATAAACCAGCTCACCTATTTCCACTTTTACAGAAAATGTATAGAATAGGACTCTCTGGGCTCTTATTTTACAAGTGAGGAAGCCGCGCTCCAGGAGGGCTAGGTAAATCACCCACAGTATTCAAGCGAGGCTGACTTGATAGAATCAAAAAGTGGGTCGATTTGCGAGTAATTAAATGGGAGAAGGAAACCAAAGCTCATGACTCTGCCACTCCGCCATGTATTCATTCGCCCGACAAATGACAAACAGCTCTTCGTTGGGCACTACAGATGCCAGGAGCCCCACCCCCACCCCCCCAACCCCCCACCCCCGCACACATCCTGGTGGGCAGATGTAGAAAGCAAACAAACCTCTAGACAAAGAAGAAAACTTCAAAACAGTGCTAAGTCCTGGGTGGAGAAGTTAAGTAAGGAAGGTGTGGGAGACTCAAAGCCTAGTTCACGTCAAGGAAGAGGATCCAGGGAAGATAATGGTCATGAAACTTGAAAAGAAGTGAAGGCTGATGGAGGATGTGCCCTGTTAGGCTTGTGGGAAAGCATGTGGGTCCATTGAGAACAGCTAAGGAAGGAAATGAGCTTCGAGGGAAAGAAGCTCAGTAGACAAGGACACTCTGAAAGGGCACACATCCCATCAAGTGTGTTGAACCAAGGCAGGAAGTCTCATTCCAACGCCAGTCAAGAATATCTAGAAGGTTCCACTCAGGAAAGCTGTAACCTGGTTCCTCTGCTCTACCCCTTTAAAGAGAAATCATACTCCTTCAGAGCTTGATTTGCAGAAGAAATGGAACATGACGTGCAAAGGGTCTTTCACAGGCCTCCAGTGTCCCCCTCCTGGTCACGGTAGGGTGGTGTTGTCATGGCTGCTGCTGTTGCAGCTGACACCACTGTGGTAGACACAGGGTGAGAAAATCAGAAGCAGTCTCTGGGCCTCCCTTTGCAAAGTAGAGGAGCAGATGAGATGGTCTCGGGACAATTTCATCTCTGAAATGACTCAGCGATCCATTGAAATAAGCAAGCCCACACGCAAGTCTGCAGGAAAGATGTGCAGAATGTGCACAAGCATGCCCTGGGCTTTTTTTTTTTAAAAAAAAAAAGACAATGAGTTTTTTTCTAGGCAGCCTTGGTTTCTTTAAGTTCTCCCCTAACTCAAGAGACCATTGCTGTGCCTTATACACCCACAAGCATCCACTAAGTGGCTGCCTTCTTCATATGTTCCTGTTTCTCTGAGAGGGGTACAACACTGGCAATTTCTAAAGCTGGGCTTAAGAAAGTTTTGTTCATCAATTGTGAGTTTATCTTCTTGATTTTTTTCCCTTCTAGCCTGAAAAACTTTCTCTGATCTGATATATTTTAAAGGAAAAAAGATTTTCCTCTTCAAAAAGGGTGTGGAAGTATCTAGCTACTGAGTTCTTTACATATAACACCCAGGCAAGCTCAATGACTTTAGAAGGTAGTTTTTGGTAGCATCCAATGCTAAAAATGCCTGAAACCAAGGATCAAGAGGAAGAGGTAGCATGCTTTCCCTTAATCTGGTCTCAAATAGTGGCTCACACCTTAGTGAGCTCCCCTAAGACATCATTGCTCCATCAGTAAAGAACCTTTGACCTTATTGCAACCACCTCATCCCAGAGATGGCTCCAAACAACCCAAGATTCAGCTACAAGGTGCTTTGACTCAGCACCCCCACCTAGTCTCAAAGGAGCTCATTTTAATATCATACACAGATTTATAACTCCAAGAAATGAGCATTTCCTGCTTCCACGGGAAGCCTAGGCATGCCCACGAGACTCGTCTACAGAGCAATGAGAAGCAGTGCTAGAGGAAGTCATCTTGCAGGGTCCCCCAGGGGAGCTCAGCCTCCCCCAATCCTGTCTTCTCAAGGAAGCATGTGTAGCCTGGAGGAAATGAAAAGTCTATACGAGCTTTCTTGGGAATTTCAACACAGGAAAGTTTGCTAACGATCTCAAGAAATATTTTCCACGAGAAATGAATGGAACCATGGGTCATTTCCCAATTGTGTGCTTGACCATCTAGGTCAACCTTTAATGAGCCTCTGGGCTTTAAAGCCTCTCACCACAGTGCAAGTTTCCAAGGGCATAGGTTGGGGTAATTGCAGACATGCCTAAGACCACGTAAAGGGAAGAACACTGGCTTTATAGAAGAGTTATCTAGACAACATCTGCCAAGCAGCTGGGACAGGCTAGTTGGGGGGTTGTTTATTTTCTTGAGTTTATTTGAGACAGAGACTCAGTGTGTAGCCCAGGCTGGCCCCAGACTTACAGTCCTACTGTTACAGGTGCCCACCACCATGCTATGCCCCACTCATGTTTATTCTTATGAAGCCCATTCCACACAGGAGCATGTCAGCCACCTGCTGCTTGCTCAATCCTAAACAACTCATTTAACCTCTCAAAGAAACAATAACAATAACACCAACTTCATGTGCTATTGTAAGGATTCGCGGGGTCACAGGATCACACTTTGTATAGTATCAGACTTGTGTGCTATTTTTTTTTCATTCATTCATTCCACTGATGTTTATTTAGAGCTCACTGCTCAGTTCCCAGTGTTGATATAGGTGCTTAAAGCATACTATAAAATATGCAAAACCAAGCAAAATCAGATTAAACCAATGTTAAAAGAAATAAAGTAAATATTTAGCTTCCCAGAGGGGCTCATATTCTTGGAGAGAGGATTGGATAGATGACTTCCTTAAACATGATGATTATGCCAATTAAATGGTAGGGTTCAAGGTGTTTGTGCTGTTGAAAGTCAACACAATGAAATTAAAACAATTAGGGGTGCCCTTGGTGGATTATAATGTGAAATAGAATGATCAAGGAAGAATTCACCCAAAGGTGACATTCAAGCAAAATATGGGGAAGATGAGGATATGAATCCAACAGACAACTCAAGGGTGATTTCAGTACAGATGAGAGTCGGGGGAAATGGCAGGACCTCTCTGACATGTTTAGAGTCAGGAAGGGCCAAATGGCACTCGGTAGAGTTTGAAAGGAATCCATGAAGCACAAGGAGAGGGCACAGACAATGATCCCTTAAGATGGAAGGACCTTTTCTTGAACTGTGAGTCAGATGGTGTTATGGTATGAACAATTGTGTACCCCCAGAATTCATGTGTGAAAATCCTAACCCTCAACTTTTTGGCATTAAGAGATGGGACCCATGAGAAGTGACAGGATCATGAAGACAGAAGATATGTACCCCTATAAAGGCAGTCCAAGGTACTCATTTGTCCCTTTACCATGTGAAGGCACAAGGAGAAGATGTCACCTATGTGGAACAGACCCTCCCCAGACATTGAATCCACCAGCATCTTCACCTCTGATTTCCCTGCCAAGAAAACTCGGAGAAAGAAAGCCTGCTGTTTCTAAGCCAACCAGTCTGGGGCATTTTGTTCTCATGGTCCCAGGAGAACAAGACAGATGGAAAAATATCAAAGGTATTTGCAGAGAACACTGACATAAGCTACCTTTGTATTTTGAGATGATCGCTCTTCCTGGCATGTTGAGTTAAAACTATGAGGGAACAAAGATGGAAGGAAGCATAGAGACCAGCAGGGAATCTAGAGGAATCGTCGGGAGGAGAGATACAGAGCCTGGACCAAAAAACCAGCAGCATTAACACTACGTGGATCTTGGATATTCTGTTGAATGAATACTGTATATATATGAAGAGAAAGACATATGGATTTGGTGGGAGGGTTCAGTTCATTTGTTTGTTTTGTTTTGTTTTTCTGAACAACTACAAGGATGAGTATGCCATCAGGTGAGAGAGGAAGGACTACTGGAGGGCTTAAGGTGAAAATCGTGAGACAAGCTTCTGGTGTGTAAGTCTAAAAATGGATACATAACACTTGTGAGGAGATGGAAATAGGCAGTTTGAACACAGGAGTCTGGAGGCTCCAGACGAAGGATTCAGTGGGGTGCAAAAATCTGCTAATCATAAGAATCCCTATTATTTAGAGCCGGAAGATTGAATGGGTGCAGCTAGGTTGTAGGTGAGGAAGGAAAAAGGGGTCAAAAACTGGGCCTCGGGCTCACTAATGCTCAGAGACAAAGAGGAAACTAACAAACATACAAATGTGCTTGATAGGGAACTGCCACTGAGATTGGAGTAACACTAACAGAGGGCAAGAAAGGGAAGTTCTAGAGTCAAGCAGAGCTGTCTGCTCACTGCAATACACAACATGGACATCATGCGTGTGGTCAACAAGGGCAGGCTTGGAATGGTGTGGGAGAAAGGCCTCACCAGAGTGGGATTAAGAACATCCTGGAAATCAGAAAGGAGATAAAAGGTCTTGGGATGGTAAAGACATGGCAGGATAGTTGGAAAGTCATAGGCATATCAAGTTGGTATTTTAACAAATGAAATAAAAACATGTTGATCTGATGAAAGTCATCATATAAGAAATATAGGGGGGGAGGGGTTGGGGATTTAGCTCAGTGGTAGAGCACTTGCTTAGCAAGTGCAAGGCCCTGGGTTCGGTCCTCAGCTCCGGAAAAAAAAAGAAAGAAAAGAAAAGAAATATAAGGAAATAATAATATAATAGAAAGGGGGAAGAATCGTGGTTTTTTTAAAAAGCACCCTTACTCACTCTTACTGAGCATAACTGACTGAGATCCAGCATGAAGGCAGCCACAGCAGCTTGGACAGGAGCAGCCAGCTCACGGAAGGCAGGAGGCAGGGACGTGGCAGTGAGCTTCCTTCCAAATGAGAATCTAAGGGTGTCAGCTTCTGGTTATTTCTCTTGCTCACCTGCCCTGGGCCCTGAAACCCTTGTTAATATTTACCTATCTCAATTAAAGCATCAATAGTTCCTTTCACAGATCTTTTATAGTATTCCTTTTTACTATACCCTTGAATAGGAATGAGGACAAAGAATTAAGGATGAGCCCAAAGATCTTGAAGAGCTCTGGAAAGCTTTTCCACAGTATAACCTGAAATGAAAAGAGAGCCTTTCAAGTGGGAAAGGGGATCCATGAGAGAAGGTGGACAGAAACCATTTCAATCAATACCATTATCGTAGGACCACACAGGGATCACTGGGTATTTACAGGAAATAATGGTTTCACCATGGCCTCCATTTCTCCAAGCTTAAGCTTGATTTTTTTTTTTGGGGGGGTGGTTTAAGAAAAATGGTTTTGTCACATTTACCCACTCCATGGCAGCTCGAAGCATCACTAAGATCCTTAGCTGTCACCAGAGACCTCTCAATACCTATATGAATGCACAGAATGACAAGAGATAGATTTTCTCAACAACCTAGCACCCTAGAGTAAGATGAAGACAACAGAATTTTTCACTTTCTTTTAGACCATAAAACTGTCACTGAGGCCGTCAGGAAAAAAAAAAAAAAAGTGCATGACAGAAGTTTCTGTTCTCAGGGTATGTGCAGGGAGAAGACAGGGGGAGTACTTACAGCCAGAGGACACTGTCTGGGTGGTGGCAAAATATGTGTTCCATCCTAGGAATGGAGAGTGGGGAGTTTGCTGAGGGATTTATACCGGCCATGGTGCCAAATGTTCAGTGAGCAGGTCTGCACTCCAGTGTTAAAAACCTTCTAATTAAAGAAGAATGCCTCGTGCCTGGAAACAGCCAGCAGCCATAATTCATCCGCTGGAAGTAACACAGCCTAAGGAAATGGGAGCAGGGTCCAGACAAGGCAGGGAAAGGGACTGTGAAGTCTGAAATGGCTCAGAACGGGCTCTGCCTGCAGCTGCCCTCGCCTGCCTATGTGCCTTCCACGCATCCGCGCCCTGAAACCGGCAGCCAACCCCTTTGCGGCACATCCGCTTTCCTGACCCCAACCTCAGAACCCTGTGGGCCAGCAAGATCTGTGTCTGAAGCTGTGTTCGAAGGCCTCCCCTTCTCCCCTGGAGAAGGCATTGCGGCAGTAGCTGGACCGTTGCCAAGAGCTAATTCTCCAAGTGTGGTCCTCAAACATCTTCCCATGTGTGTTCCAGGTTCGGGATCCGCCATGCTTACAAGAGAGCGGTGCCTAATCTCTTGTTTCTGGCATGAATAATGGCTCTTTAATCGAACCAGATGAGCACCCAGCAGTAGCTCATGAACAGATGCTCCATCGGCCTGTTAGGGCTGCAGAACGTGTTCCACTTACGACCCGTTGATGCAGATAGTTCCCGTCATCAGACAAGCCATCCTTCACAATCTGGCGTCCAGCCCCTGTCTTCCGTCATCACTGGAAGCTGACATTCTCCATGCTATCTCTCCCAAGCCTGTGGTCTCTAGTGGTATCTCTGCACATATGGTACACATGGATCCATCTGTCAGGGACGTCCTCCCAGCTTCTGCCCCCAGCCTTTTTCCTCCATTCACATATCATGCTTGGTATCACTCAAGACAAGCGAGGGGCCATCGCCTCCTTCATTCACACAAAGCAGCCTTCCTTCTCCCCGTAGGCTAAGCATTCTTTAGGTGTTCCCAAAGTTCCTTACGGCTTCTCCACTGGAGACTTTCCACACTGTCTGTCATTGCCCACTGCTTCCCAACTCCCCCACCACAGGAGGGACACTGAAGGGACAGGCCACCTTCCTTCACTTTGGGTCCCACTTCAGGTCAGGGCTTGATGTGCACAGACACTCAATGAAGTTTCTAATTTGCTTCTTAGTATCATTTAATTAGTGTCAAAAATGCTTATTTTCTGTTATAACTGATACTGCATAGAATTAAATGCTTTCCCCTCTCTGACCAAATGCCTGACAAGGAGTAACTTAATAGAAGAAAAACTTACTTGAGCCTACAGTTTGGTGGGATACAGTTCCTAACAACAGGGCAGACATAGTGGCTTAGATCAGCTCGGTCCAGGCCTGAAAGGTGGCCTGTTTCCCTGTTTCTCTCTCTCTCTCTCTCTCTCTC